GCCTATTAGAAGCAAACCCTGGCAGATTTTTACCTCTCCCTCAGCTCCTCAATCCCAGTGCCCCAGCTTCCTGTCTAGCTCTGCAGCAGGCCATGTGCAGAAGTGCCCCATTCTCCAGGGAACTATACAGACCTTACCTTCCCAACCCACCTTCCAACATACTCACTGCCCACTCCCGGTCGTAAGCCGGCATTTTCCAGGGACCTTCAGGCCACTCCAGCCAGGGAAGCAGGTGGCCTAATAGCAGATCTCCATCTCCCCCCACCCCATTCCTTCCATCCCCCAGTCTCATCCCCAGAACCCTTGCTGCAGCCCGTCCCCCACCTCATTTCTAGTGGCTCACACAGAACGAAAGTTCTGGGAACCCCAAGCCCACTCTTGTTGGGTAATTTAAATACTTGTCCCTTACAGCTCTCTTCCTGCCACCCAGCTTCGGTGCAAACAAGGTTGAGTAAACAAGGTTGTTTTCAGAACTTTGCAGTGTGCAGTGCCCATATCATGACCCCAGGTGTGGGTGGTGCATGATGTAGCCCATTGCCTCCCTGGCTTGGTATTGTAAGGATGGAAAAATACAGCTTAACTCTCCAATGACCTCAGGAAGCTAGAAGTTTAAACCTTAAATTCCAGACCCTGCCCTCAGCCAGTAAATAGGGGAAAGGTCACATTCTTTGCTGTTTACCACAGGGCCTGTGAGTATGCAAGTATGCACAGGGCTACAGAAAACTGATTGGTCTATAAAGTGCTGGCTTAGAGGTTTTAAATGGATTGGTCTGCACCATGCTATGAGATGATTGGTTTACAGTGCACGGGATTTGTAGTAACCCTATAAAAGCTGCCTCAATTCTGTACTCAGGGTCCACTGTCCTCTACCCCTGCATGGCGTATGACTGTGGACCCCAGTGCACTTGGAATATAAAAGACCCCATGCTTTTACATCAAGACCGCTTCTCATGTGTGATTTGGGAGGGCACCTTTCCTGAGTCGGGGCGTGAGGGTCCACGCTTTGAGGGTCTTTCAGTATATAAGCCCATTACTCTCTGTAATAAACGGCAATGCTTCTTCACGTCTCATGGTGGTCTGTTAAGTGTTTCAATCCCGACACCCTCCGCCAAGCTCAGTACTCCGGCTGTGTTGGCACAGCACACTCTGATCAGGGAAGCAGGCTAACTGCAGATCTTCAGTCTCCCTCCAAGTCTAACTTCCCAGTTTTACCCCCAGCTCTTCAGCAAACATTTTGCCCCAGCCTGTTCTCACCCTCTGCCCCCATACCCAGGGGCCTAAGTAAGCAAATCCTGTAGAACACCCTGCTTTCCTCCCTCTTCTGAAGCCTCTCCTCCACCTCCAGCCCTTCCCCGTGACTAAGTCTCAGGTCCTAATAACCAGAAACACATTTTACCTTGAACCCCCAGTGTCCCTACCTATCAGGATCCAAGGTGATCTTCCTACAGGCAATGCACAGCCTCCACACTCCCTTAAGAGCCAGACAGGAGACAGAAACCAGGAAGCAAAACCCCCACTCAACTAGGACAAGACCAGATAGAATTAATCTCCCCAATACCAGATGCCTAGAAGCCACTTCAAAAATACATCAGTAACACATGTCTCCATTATAGCTGCAGCCCTCCCATAACAGGTCCTGGATATTCCAGTAGAGACGAAGTAGAAATGAATGATCTTAAAATAACCTTTACACATATGATAAGGTCTTTAAAGAAGAAGCAAATCCCTTAAAGAAAGAAGAGACAAAAGCCTGGGGGCTTCAAATACCAGGCTGGCTGGCAGGCTGTTCCTCTGCCAGCAGGGCCCCCCTGCCGAGGGACCAGCCCTATAAGTTCAAGGATGAAGACATGTTTACCCTAAAGTTGTGAACCTACCGCATTCATCCTGTTGACCAATTCAACCTGGGAGAGGAAGATTCCTCAAAAATATCCCAAAGCCCTACCCGGGGAGACAGGGGCCAGGCTGCTAAGTTCCCTCAGCTCAGCGGTCCCCCTGTGTGTCTTGCTGTGGTTGTGTTTCCCCAGTCCTAATGAAACCTTTCTGTTCCCGTGGATTCTCTCTGCTCTGGTGGAGATTTTCCCTTATGCTACATGTTGCCCTTAAGGTGTTTTCCTTTTAATTCTTTATCTGGCAGAAAAATAACAACAAACCGAAACAGAGCAACACCCCCCCCCCCCCAGACTGTAACCCTTCAACAGCTCTCCAGACTCTAGCCCCCACAGGAGTTTGTTTGGTCCTGTTGTGTTGCTGTTTTTAGTGTTGTGCACTAAAACTAAGGGCCTGCTGATTTCATGGAACTTCCCCCATCACTCAGCTACCTCCTGTTCCTTTTTGTTCTTTTCATTTCAACACAAGGCTTTCTTTCTCTCTCTCTCTCTCTCTCTCTCTCTCTCTCTCTCTCTCTCTTTCTTTCTTTCTAGACGCAGGGTTTTTCTGTGCAGCCCGGGTGGTCCTGGAACTCGTGATGTAGACCAGGCAGGCCTTGAACTCACAGAGATCCACCAGTCTGCTGGAATTAATGGTGTGCACTCCACCACCTCCGAGAATATCCAGGGCTTTCTTAAATTGCCCAGGCCAGAACTCACTCTGTAGATTAGGAACTTCCTGGAGCTGTGATCCCTGGGCCTCTGCCCCCAGGCCTCTGCTCATAGTACATTTCAAAGGCTTAGCAGTGATTTCCCATGTGAGTTCCTTGTAATCATCTCAAGGTAAAAAGTCTAATGTTTTATTCTGTAGTAAGTTTGTATAATATGCCGACCTGTGTGTAAAATCACAGGAAAGTGACGAAAAATACCTAATAAATGTAATAAGCATTACTGCCAGGTAATCCAAACAGGTTTGAAAACTGAGGATGTTAAGGGTAGCCTGACTCCCTGTCCATCTCCCTCCAGCGGCAGAGGTTGCACATTTCAATCCTTTCCGCACCTTCCCTTGCCTCCAGCGATTCCAGGAGTCCGTTACAAGGCCTTATGGGAAATGTAGTCTTTGCCATTATGACGTCACAAGCAAGGCTCCACGCGGCGCCTTCTGAGTTTCTCCTGCGCATATTCCGCCTCCCACGCCGTTCTCCCTCTGCAGTGTGGACTCAAGATTTTTACGTCGCTGCAGTGGTTCGGATCTCTGAGTGAAGGTTGGTTCAGGATGTAGGGCAGCCCGCCAGGCCCGAGGGATTGTGCAGGGTGAGCCGGCAGGTCCGTGTTGCGAGGAGTGCACACGGGGCACTTGGGAAGCAGTAGGAAGCTCACTTCGGAGGTGCCGTTCGAACCTAGGTTGGACCACTGAGTCAGGGCTTAGGTCGGAGCTCGGGAGAGGGCGATGGGGACGGTGCTGGGTCCGAGGCTGGTCGGTTCCATCCAGCATCTGGCTCCCGGGCAGAGCGAGCCGGCTGTCAGCAGGCACCCGAGGCTGTGCTGGAAGCTCACTTCCCAGCTTTTCTGGGGAAGCGCGCTGGCTGGCACCAGCTGATTCCCTGTTAATGGCTGTGGACAGGTTTCTCAGCGTCTCCAGAGAAAAAAAGTGGAGTTTCGGGTCCCTACTGCACTTTGCAGCCGCGTAGTACTCTTGTTGATCAAGTTTATAAACTCTTATCTCATATTCCAGAACAACGAGGGAGCGAAAAGGATGGGGGGGGGCAGGAACAGTGTGGGGGAGTTGGTCATGTATTGGAGGAGAGCAGTTAGATTTGTCTGGGCGTCTCTCACAAACATCTCTAGAGGCATGTAGAGAGGAGGTGCGGTAGTTCTCATAAAGTTCACTCCTTCCATCCTGTTCTGGGCCTGTGTCTGGTCCCGGCTTCCCTTGGAGTGAATTGCCCCAGGATCTTAGGGATTTCAAACAATTTCTGAAGCTTAATGCAATTGAAGTAGACCTATGGTGGAAATTTATGTCTTTAAGAGTCTATGTTAAAAGAATCATTAAGAACACAAATTACTTCGTGACACAACTCAAGAATTGTGCAAAAGAACCACAAACCCCACACACATCCAGTGACAAAAATGATAGAAATCAGAGTATAAGGAGGTGAAATAGAACCCCACACAACAATAACGACAACCAATGAAACTCAGAGCTGGTTCTTCGGGAAGACGACAAGAGCCCGTTGGCTCTACTGACCAAAGGGAAAGAAAGGATGATCTAATTAAGAAGACCAGGGATAAACAGGGCAACACTATAGCGGACACCAAAGAAACTCAGTCTTACAAGGGAACACTGAGAACCTGTCCTCCATTCCATTGGGAAATGTAAAAGAAATGCTCACGTGTCTAGATTCCTCCATATCATGTACACTAGACTAAGAGGGCTCAGCAGCCCGACGGTACAGACAGGGGACAGAAGCAGTAATTCAAAGTCTTCTCTCTCATACACAAAAACCAACAACCCCTTTCCCAAAGAAAGAAAACAGTCCCAGGTGGATTTACAGAATTGTACCGTGCTTTTAAAAGACAATCTATAGCCAGTACTTCTTAAAACATTGCAAAGTAAGAGAGAGAAACAGAAAGGGGAGTACTTTCAGTGTCACTACCAGACTCTGTGCATACCAGGAGATTCAGACCTCAGACCACAGCATCTGCACAAGAGACTGCATTTTTCATTTCACATTGTCCTGTGTGCTAACTGCTGAGAAGTAATGGCTCACACAGTGTGACTCCCCTAAGAGAAATGTGTACAAAGTATGGTACATAATGCAGGCATATGATTTGCATTCCATACTAGATGTATTCATTTTACGTTTAGTACTCTTAATTGTATAATAACCAGATGCACTTATAGGATGTTTTGCCATTCTCTTTAGATGGGCACTGAGATCATGTGACTACATCCAAAAATAAATTAGTGGCATCGTTTACCCATGTCACAGGCATTGCTAGCTCTGCTTTTACCTGAGGCCAATTTTAGAGTGGTGTTCACAAGCACACAATGCCTATTGGTATTTGTATCACTGTTAATGGCTTTAATTAGTTTAATCAGTGGTATTCATTCATTGATCTTTATTTCAGAACATGCTGTCATTCAGGGACGTGGCCGTTGATTTCTCCACAGAGGAGCATGAATACCTGGGCCCTGCTCAGTGGAATCTGTATAGGGATGTGATGCTGGAGAATTACAGCAACCTCGTGTTCTTGGGTGAGGATCACGTCTTTTGTGAACTTTTAGTTCACTGTCAGCATGTACCTTTCTTTTATAGACCATCTCATGTGAGCTTGCACTTTCTAACGATGTTCATAGAATCCCGCTTGTTTGTGTCTTTTGAGACAGGGCTTCTCTGGCTCTCCTGGAACTCACTCTGTAGACGAGCTAACCTTGAACTCAGAGATGTGCCTCTTTGCCTCCCAAGTGCTCTGGTTAAAGGTGTGAGCCACTATGCTCAGCTCATAGGTCCCCCTTTCAAGAATTGTTGATATAACTAAGACAAATTTGATCTTGTGCTTTTCATCTATTTGTTTCAGTGTGTGTATCCTTCACTGTAGTTATGATGTCAGAAATTAAATGGAACGAGTCATGGAGCATACATGGAAAAGATGTTTTATTCTTTTTCTAATTTTATAGTTTTCCTGGTATGTGACAGAAGTGAAGATTTGTGATTACAAATTTCTCCTAACGAATGCCTATCGATTTGAAAAGCTAATTTTCTACAGTCATCTATTTATTATTTATTGTTTTTAAGATAAAAGTTTGAGATTATTTTTTATGCATGTTGTTCTCTATCTGCACATACACCTGTAGGTCAGAAGAGGGCATCAGATCTCGTTTTAGATGGCTGGGAATTAAACTCAGGACCTCTGGAAGAGCAGGCTGTTTTTAACCAGGGAACCAACTCCCTAGCCATCTCTACAGTCATTGATTGTGCCATTATTCCCCCTTATCCACACAATAGTGACATAAAAAAATGCTAATTCTCTTCTTTGCCCCTTCACACAGGCCTTTCTTCCTCCAAACCATTACTGGTCCGTTTTCTGGAGAAAACCCCAGAGCTTTGGAATGGGAAGAGACAAGTGGCCTCTGTGCACCAAGGTAGGAATGAGGGGTCAGAGGGCAGAGTGGGGATCGGTTCCAATAGAGGGGTCAGAGGGAAATTTTTGAGATTATATAATTTCCCTACTTTCCTTTCATCCTTTTAAACCCTCTCGTATACTCCTCTGTGTTCTCTTTCAAATTTGTGTCCTTCTTATTAAGTAATTGTTGTTGCATGCATATATGTCTATATGCTTATATTTCTAAATAAGCTGCTCAGTCTGTATGTTACTTGTATATATGATTTCAGGACTGAACACTTGGTATTGGATAACCAGTTGGTGTGTTCTTTCCTGAGGAAGACTATTTCTTTTTCTCTCCACATTTCTTGGTTGCCTGTAGTTCTTTGTATAGGGTTGAGGCCTTGTGGCATGTCCATTTGTCATCCCTGTTAGCTCTTGTTTAGCAGTCAAATTGGTGAGACTTGGAATGTAACTTCTGACATTACTAGGAGACACTATCTCACAGTATACTCCCTGATGCTCTGACTCCTAATTCACCCCCAGTTCCACAGTGTTCCAGAGCTTTCCGTGCAGGGGTTGTTTTGGAGATGCATTCACTGTGACTAGGCTCCACAACTCCACATGTTCATTTGTGGTTTTCTGTTTGGTGCAAAAAGAAATGTCCTTGATGAGGGAAAGGTGAGGACTACACTTACCTATGGGTATAAGGACAAACATCTAGAATGTACTATTAGAGATTATGCTGGTTTAGAAGAGTGGTCATTGGAAGGCTTCTCCAAGATCCATGATTTCACTAACCCTGCATAGTTTCCAATGCCAGCCATGATTCTCTCTTGTTGAGTGAGTCCTAAATTGGGGATCTGTTGGTTACCGTAAAAGTGTGCTTGTCAGTACTGTACCCTGTAAGGAGTAAGGTTTTTCCTCCTGCCGCTGGTCTTGTCCCGCCACCTCGCAAGCCCCAAATAATGCACAGAGACTCTGTATTTGATACAGTGCTGTTGGCCAGGTACTAGTTTCTTATGGGCTAGCTTTGTCTTAAGTATTAACCCATTTTTGTTGATCTGTGTATTTTCATGTGGTATCCTCACCGGGGAGTGGGGCAGGTGTCTTGTCTCCCCAGCCTCTCCATGTTGACTCCTCCTTACTCCTTCCTTTTTCCTCCTCATCTCCTAGTCCCGCCTATCTAGCTTTCCTATTGGCCAACAGTGCTTTATTCATTAACCAGTATGAGAAACATATTTGCAGAATGACATCTCCCATCAGTACCCTTAGGGTTGCTCTGCCGTGCTGGTCATTGGTGAGTTCATAAGCATCAGCACTGGGTGGGACTTTTGATTGCTTCCTTTCTCTGGAAGCTCGTGTGGCACCTTCTGTTACCATGGAAACCAGCCCTCAGGGAAGAAGCATTCGGGTCATTTCTAGATCTCTGGTTCCTGTGTCTTAAGGGCACAGTGTCTTCAGCATTAAGAAGTTACCTTCCACCTCTAATGAGCAACTAAAGGCATTAACAATAGTTTATGTTTTGGGAGTCTCTTGGACAATACTGACTGATAACTCAAAAGAGGGTGTCTCATGCCTGGCATTCAGGGTCTTTGCTGACAGCATTTCAGCCCAGAAGAGAAAACTTCATTTAAATTTTACCTACATATTTATACTCAGATTTCATGCACTAAAATACATATGTTTTTAGGTAGATAGTAAACAGTATGAGCCCTTATTAGTTTTTTAAAAACTTACTGTTATTTTACCTTCTCTCTCTTTCCACTGTAGTTAATCTCCCTCCCCTTCTCTGGTTAGAATCCCCACCCTTTTTTTCCTGTCATGTTTCTTTGTTGTTGTTGTTGTTTTGTTCTTTTGGAGACAAGGTTTCTCTGTGTCTTTCTGGCTGGCCTGAATCTTGCTTTGTAGACCAGGCTGGCCCTGAACTTACAGAGATCCACCTGGCTCTGCCTCCTGAGTGCTGGGATTAAAGGAGTGTGCCACCACTGCCTGGCTCTGTCAGAGTTCTTCATGTTAACTACATTGTCTTATCAAAGTGCTGTCTGAATCCTTGTTTTATCTTCATGTGTATCCCACATAGTGTCAATGATTTAACAAGCCTGCCCTTTGTGGGTAGATAATCATGGGTGAAAGCTGTTCAAGTCTAGAATGTTTCTTACAGTAGTTAAGAATTTTGTGAGTTTGAGGCTCTTTGTTCCTCATCCTGCAGTTCCATTTTCTCTATTATGATTTTGCTGTCTAAGCTGCCTGAAATCATGTATGAATGTTCTCTGTGCATTTTTGTAGATGGAATACCTAAAATTAGACATTTTATTACTATTTTTAACATCTTTGAAAAATAAATATTGAAATATGTTTCTGTGATCACAGAATTGTGTATTTCCCCTTACATGTGTAAACATGTCTTGTATATTTTCATGTCTTGTATATTTTCTCTGTTCATTGTTTTACTCAGTGGTTATTTCTCTTAGAAATGAATAGTTGTTTAAAATGTGTGAATTTACAGTTTGTTGTTAGCAAAATTGTCATTTGTAGCAGAACTTGAATTCTTTCCCTAATATTATCTTTCTGATATTTATGCTCATGTCATTAAAATATTATATGGAGTCTACTAAGTTACATTGATGAAATATATTATTTAATGGTGTTATGAACAGTCCTCTTGTTATACAGCCTGTTTTCTACCTTCCACAACTAAAACTTCATACTTAAGATAAAACTTCATCTTTTACCATGTCCATCCTGTTTGGCATCATCATCATTAACTTCCTGTTTTCCTAGTTTGACTACTTTGCAATTTTCATGTGTGTACACTCTATATGGTTTCCCTGTTTGTTTAATGGATTTCTTTCTGTTAGTATAATGCCTGAAAAATTTCCATTACCATCCATGTTACAACTTCTGAAGCTATGTAAATTTGAATTATGTTCCATTATTTCTATACCCTATTTTGTTGTCTTATTCTTTCAATTGAAATTTAAACAATTTTTACCTATTGTATTTTCTAAGTATAGGTGCAGTGGATATAGGTGTTGTCCATATTATAGTTTCTTATCATGAAAATGAGTTAAAGTCTGTATATTAAAGATAAGCATTATAAAAATGGCAAATTTTTCTAAGCTTTTCTCCATTTCCTTTTACTCACCAGGAAAGAAACCCTATACCTGTAAGGAATGTGGTAAAACCTTTGCTAGGAACTCACTTCTTACTCAACATCTGAGAATTCACACTGGAGAAAAACCCTACAAGTGTGATATATGTGGCAAGGCCTTTTCTATACCTTCCACACTTATTAACCACCAGAAAATTCATAGTGGAGAGAAACCCTATGAGTGTAAAGTATGTGGCAAAAAGTTTTTGAGCCCTGCAGATTACACAAAACACCAAAGAGTTCATACTGGAGAGAAACCTTACAAGTGTGAAAAATGTCAGAAACCCTTCAGTACTCTTTCAGACCTTAGTAAACACAGAGTTGTTCATACTGGAGAGAAGCGTTATACCTGTGACAAATGCAACAAAGCCTATAGTAGGAATCACCACCTTCGTCGACACAAGATAGCTCACAGTGGACAGAAATCCTACACATGCGAAGAATGTGGCAAAATGTTTTGCTATTCTTCAGGCCTTAAAAGACATCAAAGAATTCATTCTAAAGAGAGACCCTACAAGTGTGAGGAATGTGGCAAAGCCTTTCCCAGTCCTTCAGATGTCACTCAACATGCAAGGACTCATAAGAGAATGAAGCAATACACCTGTGAAGAGTGTGGTGAGTGCTTTACTGTTCAAACAACATTTTCTAACCTCCGTAAAATTCGTCTGGAGGGGAAACCATCTGAATGTGAAAGATGTCGAAAGAGCTTTACAGATCCTTTATAACTAAAAACACACAAAAGTGTTCAGATAGCTAGCTAGAAGATGTGAAGGATGTTGCAAATGTTTTATATGTCATTCAGTTGTTGCTCAACCTTACTCAATTCACACCTGAGAGAAACCTTACACATGTGCAGAAAAGGACCAGCGTTTTGCTATTCCTTGTATCTATGTAAGCACTGGAAAATCCATTCTGATGAGGAAGTCTACAAAAGCAATCGATGTGGCAAGTTCTTTACCTATTCTTCACACCGTAAGAATCCCCAGAGACTTCCTACCTCATACATGCTCCATGTACAAACACTGTGTCAAAGTCTTGAATAATACTTCAGGTCTTTATCAACACCAAAGAATTGACATAGGCAAGAAACACTGCAGCTGTGGATGTCCTTGTTAGCTTCAAGGGTCGCTTCATACAGTCTTTGGTTGACTGAGGACTCTCAGCATGGTATTTGACTTGATTGTATTTGCCTATAGGCATATCTTTGGGGGTGTTTAGCCTTCAATGGCTGAGCCATCTCTCCATCCTAGGGGGTGTTTTCTGTCAAAGGGTAAGGAGTGCCAACCAGGGCAAATGTTTCAAGGCTATATAAGAGTTCTGGGTGCACATAAATGTGATCAAGCAAGCAAGTAGTGTTCCTCTGTGATAGTGGTTTTCAACATTCCTAATACTGCGACCCTTTAAAACAGTTCCTCATGTTTAATACAGTTCCATAAAATTATTATGTTGTTACTTCATAACTGTAATTTTCCTACTGTTATGAATTGGAATATAACCATCTGATATGCAGGTGGCCTCAGGCGACCACTGTGGAAGGATTGTTTGACCTTCCAGGTTGAGAGCACCTGTTGTATGGTTTCTGCTCTAGCTCCCGTTCTGATTTACCTGGTGGATGACCTATAACTTCTAAGCTGAAACAAGCCACTCCCCCTAAGCTATGTGTTGTCATGGCATTTGCGGTGGGAGGAGAGATCTAAGGAAGAGATGAAGGTGGAAGGCTTTGCACTCTTCCTTCTGTTGCTGTCACCGGACTCTGCATGGGAGATCATGTCACACAGCCTTTAGGTTTGTTCAGCCTTCATGACACACTAGAACATTCTCATGGGAGAAAAAGCTCTTTTACGACAAAGAATATGACAATTTTTTAAAAAATTGTGCTTAAACACCTAATAACTGATACTAGAAAGGAACTTTATGAAGGCAAAGTTATTGGATAGCTATTGAACAGTGATTCTGATCTGCAAATTCAGGTGATAAGAGAAATTGTTCTTCATATATCATGATAATTTATTTTGTTGGAAAACATATATATATATACATAATACATACATATATATGTTACACTCCTCCAACAAGATAGTCCATCAACTGAGAACCATGCCAGTCCGTGAGCCTGTGGGTCCATTCTTATTCAGGCCACCACAGTGGTAGACGTAGCCTTTGACCATGAGCCAGATTAAACTCTCCTTAAATTCACTCATGTACTTTTATCACAGCAGTTGGAAAAGTTACTAATAAAAGTGTTTGTTCAACATTTGATATGTATACATCATAGTGTTTTCTTCCTACCTCCCCTTTATTTCCCTTCTGCCCCCTTATTACTCTATTCTCTTTCTAAACTGTTTTCTGTTGGGAAATTTAAGTACTTGACCCTTACAGCTGTCTTCCTCTCCACTCAGCTGTAGAATTCCCGTGCTCTCAAGGTTGATCAAACAAGGTTGTTCTCATAACTTTCCAGTGTGCAGTACCCATGCCTTGACCCCAGGTGTGGGTGGTCCCTGACTTTCTCCTATGCTTAGCCCATCCCCTGGCTTGGGTATATAAGTCCATTACTCTCTGTAATAAACACTGGTGGTAGCAGCAGCTTCCTCTTCACTTCTTGTGGTGGTCTAAGTGTTTCAATCCCCACACTCTCTGCCAAGCTCGGTACTCTGGCTGTGCGGCACGGCAAGTGGAGGTCCCACCGAGATTTGGAAAGTGAGGAATTGTGGACAGGGTCATTCTGTAGCCGGCAGGAGTACATTGGGGTAAACAAGATACATACAACAATATGGGAATTGCTTCAAGTAAGAATGAAACAAAGGAACAAATAAAGATTTTAAAACAACAATAGAACAGAAATTAAAAATAATACTACAGACACCATAGAGAAAGTTAGTCCTTGGTTTCTGACAGGGGGAGGACTTAATGTTCCTGATTGGGAACAAGTGAAATCAGACCTACAGAAGAAGCTACATAAAGAGGGTTTTGACAGCATTCCGATAGCCACCTTCTCTTTGTGGAGGTTAGTCAAAGATGCCTTACTAACAGGCAAAGTTAAAGTGAAAAAACAACTAGAGACAACTAAAGAGGCTTTTAGAGAGGTCCAAGAGGAAGAAACTAGATGAAAAGTAACAATTAGTCAGACCCCCAGTAAAGAAAATGAAACAAAATGGTTAATATCTTCTGAGTCTAAGTGGGAGGAGGAGACTTTAATAAAGGAAATTGAAGAACTCTGCCATAAACTGCTGTATTGTCTAAAAGAAACTCAAAGGGGACATAGTCATGAGGGTCTTTCTTCAGATAAGGGAGACGAAATAGCAACAACTATTAAAAGAAATGCTGCTGGATTAATCCAATTTATAGATTTTATGCTTTGACTTCAAAATTTAAGTCTAAGGACTGGTTATTGGGGGAAAGGATTCCTATTCTTGTTTCCACAGAAAATAAAAAGCTGTGGATTTCTAACAGACTGGCATAGACCCCCTGAAATAGTGTCCCAGGTGATCCAACATTCAAAACAGCTGGGACAAGGCAGCCTTGCAGACCACTACAGCCAGGATTTCTGCATCTTCTTAGGATCCCCCTGACAGCGCCCCCTACCAGAAGGAAGGAGTTTGGAAAGAACGATGCCCAAATTCCCAAATATTGTTTACAGAGAAAAGTGACTGAAAATGGGGTTTTAAAAACAAACTTGGTAAAATTTCATGTCCCATGTGGGGGAATGGGTACAGCACTGGATGGGGTCTATTGCGTATTCTCTACTGGTATCGTCCTGGGTATCAGTGTCTGGGTCTGGATTCTGCAATAAGTACAATAGACAGGCAAGTGTCACCTGACAGGCACTCAGGCCTTGGCAGTGTAACCTGAATCAGCCTAAGTGTGGCTGCAGATGTTGGAGAAGCGATAACCAATGACGGGTAACTCCTAGCAGGATCAATGCTGCCTAACTGGGATCGCTTCATTTAAAAAATAAAAAGGGAGGAACTGTTGGGAAATTTAAGTACTTGTCCCTTACAGCTCTCTTCCTCCCCACCCAGCTGTAGAACTCCCGTGCTCTCAAGGTTGATCAAACAAAGTTGTTCTCATAACTTTCTGGTGTGCAGTACCCGTGCCTTGACCCCAGGTGTGGGTGATGCATGATTTCCTCCTATGCTTAGCCCATCCCCTGGCTTGGGTATATAAGCCCGTTACTCTCTGTAATGAACAGTGGCAGCAGCTGCTTCTTCACTTCTTGTGGTGGTCTGTTAAGTGTTTCAATCTCTACACCCTCCACCAAGCTCAGTACTCTGGCTGTGTGGGCATGGCAGTTTTCTGTTTATATACACACACAGCCATGCACGCACAGTCACAAGTGTAGTAGCAATAAAACTAGGTATAATAAATGGAATGCCACTTTTCTTTTTTTCTGCAGAAAAAAGAAAAAAAAAATGTGCCATGTGTAGTTTGAATGTGTTCATGTCATGATAATATTTGGATTTCAATGTTAATATTTTTTTATCCAGTTTGAATTTATTTTTGTGTAAGATAAGCAGTGTATCTAATATCATATCTAAGTTTGTCAGCAGTGTTTGTTGAAACGGTTGTCAATTTTGATACATATTTTTGAAATTTTCGTCAAATATTTTGTGCCCTTTACCTCACTCAGTGTTTTCTGTCTGAGTAGTACTTTACATTCCATTGTATTATTATTGTTTTATATGAGTGCCTTGTAGCCCTAATCACCATGGCTTTGTAGGATACTTAGAGGTTAAGTAGAGTGATACATTTGACTGTTCTTAATAAATTGCTTAGGTGTGGTAATTTTTGTTCCCATATAAGTTGTGTGTTTTTCTAGTTCTTTGTCATTGAATGTGTAGATCTCTTTTATTTTAGGTGTTTTTACAAAATGGGCTCTGCAAATCCCAGAACATGTAATGTCTTTCTGTCTTATAATATCTTATAATCCTCTGAGTGGTGCTTTTTAATATTTTCAAGTTTTGCTAATAGAAGCCCTTCCTTTGTTTGGTTGGAGTCATTCCCAGACAGGTTTCCTTAAAACAGCAACAACAACAAAACAAGAACTACTTTTGAAGACTGTTGACTGTGTACTGCTTCCTTGCTTACTTCCCAATGGCTTGTTCACCCTTCTTTCTTACAGCACCCAGGACCTGCAGAGCAGTTGTGGCACCGCCTACAATGAGCTAGACCTCCAGTGTCAATCATCAGTCAAGAAAATGCATCACAGGCTGGGCCACAGGCCAGTCTGCAGGGGGGAGGGAGGCGGGCATTTTCTCGGGTGAGGTTCCCTTTTTGAAAATGACTCTAGCTCATGTCAAGATGACATAAAACTAGCCAGCACCTTCATATTTAGGACATTTTGGTAGAGTATACAAGGTCTTTTAGCATATATTCATGTTATCTATGAACTGGAATACCTGAATTTCTTCCTTTCTAATTTTCCCCTTTGCTTATCTATTTTCTTCTTTAGTTAAGAATTTGAGTGTAGTATTGAAAAAGTAGCAATATTAGGAACTCTTGTCTCCTGACAGTTTTCATTTTTTTTTTCCATTTACTGAAAGTCACCTATAGTTTTGTCATTTGTAACGTTTTGAAGTTTGTCAAATGACTTTTCTACACAAGATGATTTTGTGATTTGTCTATTTTGTGCAGTATTACATATTGATTTGCATATATTAAGCTGGCCTTCCATATTGGGGATGAAGCCAGACATAAGATCAAAGTTTGACTATAGTTATTTTCTTTTAAAAAAACTATATTAAGACTATTTGTGTGTTATGTGTGTGTGCACATGTGCATGCATGCACGTGCATGCTTTTGTTTTAGGATTACAGTGGCTCCTTAGAATAACTTTGTAGTATGTATCTTCTGTTTTGTGGAAGGGTTTGAAAAGTGTTGATACTAAACTTTCCTTGAAAGTTTTAATTACTGCTTCAATCTCCTTATGGTTATGGGTCTGTTTAGGGTATTTCTATTTCTGGTTTTATTTTCAGTTGGTCATAAATATTTATAAATCTATTCTAAACATTTCTGATGTTTTTGGAATATAGGTTTCAGAGTATCTCATGATCATCTCTTTGTCCTGGTTTGATTGGTGAGTGGATGGATACAACCATGTGAAATTTAGTGAAGAACCACCCTGGTTAATTCTGTATGTTGTTCTTTAGTCTGTAACTCATGCATTCTGCCCTGGTTTTTATCATTTTTATTGCTCATTATTTCTTGTTGTCATCTGCATTTCTGTTTAACTTCTTTTCCACCTTGGAATTGCATCTTAAGTTTTTGGTTTTTGGTTTTTTGTTTGTTTGTTTGTTTTTTTAAATTTGAGATCCTTTTGCTATTTCACTTAAGAATGTCTCAATATAGCCATTCCACTTAGAACTGACTTTCTAGTCCTTCGGTGACACTCTTCATTCAGTGGGTCATTTAATCACCAATTATTTGTGCATTTTCTTAGGTTAGTCTTCTTATTTCTTTGTAGTTTCAGTATAGTGTGTTCCGACAGGATGCACAAGATTCTTTCTTTTTTTTTTTTTCAATTTATTGTGGCATGAAATGTGGTCCATTTTAGAGAAGATGTCTTGTGCCAGTGAGCAGAATGTGTATTCCTTCTCTGTTGTATGTGATGCGCTTTAGTTACCTTTTATACTCAGTTAGTACCTTGGTTGGTGCTT